GTCCGGAAACACAAACGTGTCGACGATGATAGGACGGCGATTCCTGCCCGTACCTGTATAGCACACTTTTTGAACTTCAACTCTGTTGGCCAACTCTCACCAACCTTCGGCTGGCACTTATCACACCCACACACTTTCTCCAAAGTTTGGCTTCTCCGTCATCGCCGACTGCTGTAGTGTCCACGATTGGGCAAGGCGCAAGCAGGACTGCTTCTTCTGTCAGTCTGTCTCGGGCCCCTCACCTCTATTTCGGCAGCTAACCACGACTGACGGGCAGCATTCATCCTTGCTCCCTTGCTTCTCGCACGCGGGCGTCTGAGAGCAAATGCACTTTGCCCACCACCCTCAGCTCTGCTGGCTTTTTGCCCGAATGACTTTTTGGTGGACAAGCTGCTGTCATCTTTTGCTTCCCGCACGCCCCCTGCCCCTCGCTCGCTTGCCGAAGGACCCCTCCCCTTTCCCCTCCCATCCCATCTCATCCCACATTTCAAAGATGCTCAGACCGACCTCAGCCACCCCAGTCGAGCGCCAGCAAGGCAGGTCCCACGGCGCTCCGAGTCTTTCCAGGCACCCTCCGTGCTTTCCAGGTACCGGTCCCTTGGACCACGGCGTCGGAGCAAGTTTTCTGCTCTTTGACGGTTCACCGTTTCTGCAAATGAATCGCTGCTGCTGGGCAGCTATTCCATAACTATACTTGTAGTACCTACAACCATCGGGTGCTTGCCAACAACTAACCGGCTTGGCTCTAGTTTGACTTTACCGAGTCGCATACTTTGTCCGTCTTGCGGCAATCTTGCGCCCGCCCTGCTTGCTTCTCTCTTGACATTCGTCGGCCACTGCGACGGAGGCAAGCTCCGGTTTTCAGCCCCTCTGTTCCGGCCTTTTCCGCCTTGACGTAGTCAGCAACGAACGGGCCTTTTCGTCCATGCATTTGGGTTTTGATATCATCGATGATGAACGTTATTCGCCAGACTGTTATTCAACCCCAGACAAGAACGAGCGAGCGAGCGAGAAAGAGAGGCAGGGAGAGGGAAAAAGCGAGAGAGAGGGAGGCAGAGAGTGGAAAAAGAGGGTTTTTTGCACTCCCCCCCCTTGTCCTCCTCGCATGCCCGCCATCAAGGAAGGGCCCTGTGTATGACAATCAAGCCGCTAAAATAACGTCGACGCTTGTTTCTCTTCACGACTCACGTCGACTCGGTCGAGGAAGGTCAAGTTGGAAATCAATGCCCGGCGCGCGCCCGCCACGAACAGCCCCGTCCAATCCAAACGTCGCCCAGTTCTAGCGGTCGGCACCCGAGAACACCAAGATATCGCGCGCGCAGAGCGCAGACTGCGCGGCACGGCAAAGCGCAGCGGTCAAGAGACTTGAGTCGAGGCGGCGCACTGCGAACGGATACTTGGAAGTTGGAACATGGATTGCATGTCGCTGCTCCGCACTCTTTTGACTGCCCATCCCATCCCGCCCTTCGCATAGCATCACACTGCACACCCGCGGTTTTCCAAACCGAAAGAAAACCTAATACTACAGGAGACCCTTCTTTTTTTGCCAAACCTGCCAAAATTTGCCGTCTTCTACTACACCACACCAGCACCAGCAGCTCACCGTACATTACACCGTCACTGTCCAGCAGCCAGCTGGGGCCGCAGGACCACCAGCGACGTAATGATCAAGACAGGACAAGAGGGGGAACCAGAGCCCCAGAAAAAGCGGAACTTGGGCATTCCTTTGCACGGCCGTTGCTTGAAAGCAAATTTCCTTCTCGAATCCCGTGACCACTTTTCCCCAGTTGTCCGCCAGTTGTCGGGCATGGAGGTTGATCCAGAATGCGCCGTTCCATGACTCTGTGAACCACCCGGCATACCGGTACGCCGAGAGAGATGTAGACAGAAAGGCAGAAGCAGAGAGAGACACACACAGAGAGAGAGGGGGGGCTGGCGGCTGGATGAGAGGGAGCATGAAAATGGTCCCGTCTCTGCACGAGGTTCGGTCACCCATGAATTTGCGCGCCGCGCCTTCCCACCCTTTTGCTCCCGACAGCATCTCCGTGCGGCGCGTCCCGTCCAGACTGGCATTGTGCCTTGGGAAGCCGACGAGAACTGTTGCTGCATTGGATCCAAACAAGCGTGGGAAGCGGTGTCGGGAATGGGGAATGCGAATGGGAATGCCCTGAGTCGGTCTGCTAGCCGGTGACCGCCCATCCCTGACGGATAGTCGTCAACTCTGCTACCGCAGTATCCGTACGACTAGCTGCGGCGCAAGTGTATTCTGTTTATGTGTGTGCGCGTTGATGATGTGGGATGTGTCTATCCTTAGCACCACATCCGCCGTCCAGGTACGCAGTCACGCAGACACGCAGTGCAGTTTCTCAGCAAGCAAGCAAGCACGCAAGCAAGCACTCGGCACTGGCAGCACAAGAACTGATTCCCAGGCTAGTGGAAGTGTCTTGAGACAAGCATGCGGATACTGGGGGGAGGATACGTCCCCAAGTGGTAGGTACTCTGCACGGCGCAGTACACGTCGAGTACCGTGCCTCTGTCTGTACGTACGCGTGTACATGAGGATTCTCTGTGGAAGGAAGCAGATCAGGTCGGTCGGTCTTGGGCCAGCAGCAGCTCACAGGCAAGACACGCGCTCCAACCCCGTCAGGAACGCACGCACTTTCAGTCTCTCGTCCTTTTCCGGGGGCGGCGCGCGTGGGAGAAGAAACGGCGGAGGCTGCTTTTGTTAGCGACACGCCCCTTCTTTTTTTTTTTTTTTTTTTTTGGTGAACACTTTCCAGCCCAACCCTCTTCGGCGACGTGGGTGGGGGTAGTGGGGGGGGGCCGGGGTGGGCGGGGGGGGGGGGGTTGTTGTTTGGGTGGGTTGTTTTGTGGGGGGGGCCGCCTTTTTTTTTTTTTTTTTTTTTTTTGGGTACAATCTTCCCAGCGCAACGCTCGTCGGCGACGTGCTGCGGAGTAATGGGTACGTACTGTGTTGGTAAAGTAAGGTAGGTGCTGGGTCGCACACCCCTTACCCCCCCCCACCCCTCGTTCGCTCACCAAGGACCCTCGGCCTCGCCCGACCCCCCACACCCCACCGATCCCATTACTACCGTCCCCGCCCCCCCTCTTTATTTTTATTTTCATCCCCCCCCCCCCCCCCCCCCCCCCCCCCCCCCCCCCCCCCCACCCCTCGTTCGCTCACGAAGATCCCTCGTCCTAGCCCGACTCCCCAATCCCAACTTGTCCATTTAGTATAGTCGCCGCGCTGCGTTTTTATTTTTCTTTTATGCCCCCCCCCCCCTCTCTTCTCTTCCTTCCTATCCACCCTTGCAGTTTTCCACATACCCCCTGGCCCTGCTAGCTTTCTGAGACTTTTTGACTTGGCAGGGTCGATTGAATATCCCAGGTGGTGTCTCTCGCTTTCTCTCTCTCTCTTATTCTCTTTTCCTAGGAGGAGCACTGAGGACTTGCTGCGAGAATAATTCCCCAAGGTACCTTGTCTCTTGTCAGTCACTCTCCTCACGTCTCTACAGCACCTCACACACAGACCAGGGGCCGAGGTACTTTGAGATACCACACGCGGCTACCCCTCGGCCAAGCTCCAGAGCTCCAAAAAAGCACAGAGGGCCGAGAGGAGGAGCGTCGAGAGTCAGATCAGAAGCAGACCGCCTTGGAACGGGGTGTTGCCCGTTTTCTGCCTCCAACTTTTTTTTTTTTTTTTTTTTGGCATCCTGCACACCCAACCCAACCCGCCATCGTACAGGTCTTCGTACATAGTAGAGCAAGCGTACCGAGTACTCCACTCCGTGCGTCCAAGGTACCTTGTAGCCGTGGCGCTCGTCTCCGTGCGGGAGCAAGGTATATGGCGACCTGGACATCACCATCCATCCATCTCGCCGCCGCTTGACAAGTTGACGCTTTCTCGACCTTCTTTTTCTTTCCCTCCTCTATCCGTTCGCGCAACGAGATTCCCCTCCCCACATCGCTCACACCTTCACCCCCGTCCAGCCTCGAGCAGCGCAACCCCAAGAGACGAGAGTGCAAAAATAGGGAAGCTCCATCTCTGCCCAACACGCTGATCCCCGCCCCCTTCAACTTCCAAGCAACCCTTTGGGCATCCGGGCGCATTCGCAGAGTGGGAAAATCCCATTTCCCAGGTTTCAAGAACCACACAGCCGGGAACACCTCAAACCGCATCCCCTCGGCTCCAACTCGACCTCGACTCGAGTCGAGCTCTTCGTCGCGCGCCGCCGCCACCGCGCCTCTTCCGCCCTCCCTCTCCCAGTCCCCTCCCTCCCTACCTTGGTCCTTGACACCCAAGATAGGTTCTACCGACACATCCACGTCTACCGATACGGATACCTCGACTCCCAACGACTTAGATCCCCGACGTTGGGTCGCCAAGTACCTACTCCTACCTTACCACTCCTCACCCTCACCCTCACCCTCCTCCTCTACTGTCCGTACCTCGCCGACTTTCACACCGACCTACCCTTCCCGTGCGTACACTACACATACGTTGCACTTTTCCGCGTACCGGTAAACCGTGGACCGTACGTACAGACACGCCGCCGTCAGGAAGAGGAACCACCACGGCCCCCATGCTTTCATCCAAACACTGAGAGCCTCCAATTGCTGCTGCCCCAGACCTAGACCCAGACCCAGAACCAGACCCAGAACCCAACCTGATCTCCGTTCCCCGTCCCGGCCTTTCTCAACTCACACAGGCTTTCCTGCTTGGTCGCTTGGTTACTCGCTTGTCCTTCTTGCTCCTCCTCTCCTCATCCCCGTCCACTGCTCCCGTCTGCGTCGCGTTGCGTTGCGTTGCGTTGCGCTTGCCCAGCATCGAGAGACTACTGGACTGGATTGGACCGGACCGGAACTGGACTCTGCTCCTCCTCGTTGCCCATAGCTTTCCCATGGCCGCCACCTTCTCCTCGGATCTAGCCTGACCCTATTTTCGCTTCGTCTCTTGTTTTTTTTCATAAGCATTGTACGCATGTACATATATATCAAGCATGGATCCTCCGGGGCAGCCTGACAACAAACGCCCCCGTTACTCGAGCACCAACTCGTGGTCACCAACCGGCGGACAGCAACAACACCACTTACCACCACTCCACCCGCCGCCCTCGCACCCGTCGACGCCGCACCAGGCCCATCCTCCTCCGCCTCATCAACACGCGCCGCCTGCGCCATATAACCACCAGCAGCCCCCGCCACCGTACCCTCCTCGCTCCGTCGAGCCTCACCACCCTCCTCAGCCGGCGCCGCAACATCATCCCGACGACCGACGACACCATGAGCAAGAGCCCCCTTACACGCCGATGCAGGACCACTATCGACACCCGCCCTCACCTGCGCACCCGACTTACCCACCGTTCCCAAACCGAGACCCTGGCGGCGTGAAGAGGGAGCCGCACGACGAGAACCTATCCCATCCACGACGGCCTCACTCGACAGGAGGCGGGCCACAGGAAGGCCTCCCTCCTCCGCCGCACTCGGCGCCGCCGCACTCTGCGCCGCTGCACCCTTCCCACCAACCGTACCCCGACGACTCCCGACGACACATGAGCTACGACAACGGGCCACAGCAGATGCCCCCCACGCCGGGGGGCTACCGAAGCAGTTTTCCTCCTCCCCCTCCCATGGCCCAACCCCCGCCACCTCAGCATTACGAGCAGCAACCCCAATACCAACCGCAACCCCCTCCAGATGCGATCTATAGTGGTATTCAGTACTCTTCCACCGCCAAGCGCAAGGCAACGAGAGCTTCTCAGGTGCGACTGCTTGGCTACCCTTTTCTCTCCACCCATGTAACTCTGCGCTGACTCCGTGTAATAGGCTTGTGACAGTTGCCGGCAGCTAAAGGCAAAATGCGACGAAACCAAGCCTTGCAAAAGTTGCAGAGAAAAGGGTGTCGAGTGCAAATATCGTGATCCTATTCCAAAGGCGTCAGTCGAGTTTGCCTCCCCTCCCTCGAATAATGTATCTTGCTGATATTGGAAACAGGATTGACAAGGGACAAACCGACATTCTGGAAGCAATTTCTGAGATGAAGAGCGCAATAGAGGCCAAATTTGAGGCGCAAATTGCGGCCCAGACAAGGTGGATGCACAGCATGGAACACACCTTAAAAGTGCATAATATCAAGATGGAAGCCGAGGGGCCGCTTTCCGACCATTCCCCAGCCGACAAGTCGCTCGTCAAGTCGCCATCGCCAGTTGCCGCACCGCCTGTGGAAGATTACCCCCCACCCGACGAAGAGATGGACGAGCCGCAGCCAATGGCTGTCGGCGAGACGGACTTGGCCCATCAGATGCACGACACGGATATGGACAACGACGATGTGCCAGACGACCCGCCCGGGCCACCTGTGGCGCCGGGAGCACCTTCGATCCCCGCCAACCATACCACTAGAGCCGACACCATATTGTTCTGGCCGGGCGTCAAAGAGATCACTCAAGGAATTCTGGAGAAGGAGAATGTCAAGTACCCTCAAGAGTACCCCATCGCCCAGGAAGAGAAGCGCGGTGTTCTCCGACTCTACGGCCGTGGTGAAGGAAGTGGGCAAGACCCCAGCCGCGGCGTTCAAAACATTCCGGCTTCAGAGGCCTTCGGAACCATGGACACTCTGGATGACAATTTCTCCGAGACTGGAAACTCGCCCTCTCCTGGCGAGGCTTGGGGCCAGGTCGGAGTACCGAGCCCGTCAAGCGTGGGATATTCCAGTACCACACTCGTAGACGGCGCTCCGGATTTCTCGGAAGAAAAGGTCAAGTCATATATCAATAGCTTCGAGAACCACATTCTCAGCCTGCACCCGATCATTCTGCCGGGTGACCTCAGAAATCTGGTCAGGCGCTTCCTGGACAACATTGCACAAAACGAGAAGAAGGCGAAGCCGACAGCTCCCGGCGTCGCCAAGTTTGTTGCGCCGACGAGCAGCTACCCGGAAATGTCAAACAAGCGGAAGCGATCGTCGCCAGCACTAGATCAGCCGGAAGAAACTATCCAGGTCTCCAAGAAGCCAGGTAGGCCGCATAGGACGATCGAAAACGCCCTCGTATTGGTCATCCTCGCGCTGGGCAAGATCTGCCAGCACCAGTCCAAGATTCCGGACCTGCCTCGGGATATGGTGGAGCATAGCCAAAACTCCCCCATGAACAGGAACGGATATCCGTCTTCCCCCGGTGCCCAGGCATCCCCTCCGTCATATTCTGCGCACTCTCAATCGCCCAAAGAGCAGGCCAACAGCCATTCCAGCAGACGGCCTTCGTTGCAGGGCAGCGGCAGCAGCGTGAAGCCCGGTTCACTCAAGCGCAATTACGACATAATACCTGGTCTGGAGTACTTTGCCTTCGCCTCTGATATCATGGGCAACCACATGGCTGGCTGGACGATGAAGCATGCCCAGACGTTCATCTTTGCTGGTCTGTATCATGGTCAGCTAGGCAGAGTACTGGAGAGTGACGCCATGTTCTTCAACGCCGCACGAGCTTTGAACATGATCATGCGCCGGTAAGTGCATCGAATCCTCGTGCCGAAGAGATGTGTGGCTGATATCCAAGCAGTGACATGGATCGTTTCTCGAAGATGAGTCTGGATAACCCCGTGGAAAAGAAGCGTGACAACCTAGTCCTCCTCGCATATTGGAGTTGCTTGCAGCTTGAAAGGTAGGTCATGCGACGCTGGATTCGTGGACAATACTGACAATTCATAGTGATATTATTGCGGAACTTGAACTTCCACGATCGAGATGTCTCGACTACGAGTACCTTATGCCTTGGCCCAACATGAAGCTGATGGAGAACGACTTTTCTGTCAGAGTACGAGAGTCTTATATTGGACAGCTGTACTTGCGCAAGACGTTGAACACCATCCACAACTTGCTCTACGACCCGAAGGAGCAACATTTGTCGATCCATGCAAAGATGAGCAAGGTACACACTTTGGAGGAACAGCTGAGAAGCATGGCGTGGGTCTCGACAGACTTCCGCTTCGACGAGAATGACCCGCCCGCAAACGACCTGATCGACGCCAGATTGCGTGCCAAATACTGGGGCGCTCGAGTCATTATCTACCGGCCATTTATCAGATTCGTTTTGGAGGTATCAGACAGGTTGAAGCAACGATCCGATGGGTCCGACATGCTTAACAAGGAGACGGTAGGACACATTGGCGTCTTCACTCAACACGACGCAACCGCATTTGTGGGGCAAGGGTCTCACGGGATCCGTCGGCACGACGAGCTCGACTCGGAAGTCAAAGCCTATGCCGAAAGAGGAATCAAGGCGCTTATCCAGAGTACTCAAGCCTTTCATGGCGTTGACAACAATCGACTTCTCGTCACCAACATTTTCGGTACAGCTCATGCGTAAGTGGTGGCTTTTTCTGCATTTCTCCTTGTGACTAAACTGACCATCATAGGCAATGGGGCAACCTTTTGATTCTGGCAGCAGCGTTCCGGGATCCGTACCTACATCACCTCGTGCCGAGGGAGCTACTCAAGACCTTGTTCCGGCGGACCATCAGCATGCTCGACAAGCATGCCCAGTCATCCAGCTCCCTGACTATTGACATGCACATTCTGCAACACATTGAGAAGGAGCTCTTTGTTGAAAACCCGAGGGTCGGCTCCAGCAGCTTCGGCAGCACCAACAGCCACACTGGGCCGACGATTCCCCCGCCTCCGCCACCCACGTCTGCGCCGTCGGCCCATCATCACCATCACCAGGGCCCAATGTCTATGGCGTACGCTGTCGAACCTAATCACCGCAGCGCGGACAACTCACCGAACCAGGGGCACCGCTTGTTGAGCAATGGATCGGGTCACGCGCCGAATCACGGTCAGAGCTACCACGGACACCCTATGCAGATGTAAAACGGAAAACCCACGCAGCGCCCACCAGGCGGAGAAGTATACGAGAGTCTGCTCGCGCTTGCAATCAATGACGACAGAACCGGGGAACTAGGGTGGAAATTTTTTGGTTATGTGGAACTAAAGGCAAATTAATTGGGAGGAAAACGGGCGGAACGAAATGCCAATGTGTGTATGCGCGGGCCAGAGAAGACGGACGCGCTCCTGGTCATGAAATTTCTTCATACCCCCCCAAACAACAAACATCCATGAACCGGCGTTTTGCGAATTCGATTCATTTCTCGTACCTACTTTGGAACCTTGCTCCCCCGGAAAACATTTACAAAGAAACCGCCGACGCAGTACAAAAAAAAACCTACGCAACCTTAGTTATTCACTCACAACTGGAACTTACCTGGGGTTTGCGAATCTTTCGCCCGTATACGCATCGGCGAGAATGAGCATCACGGGACTGGAAACCTCCTGCTTCCATCCGTAGGATTGGCTATATATATATTTATATATATACTTATGCTCAAAGTTGGACGACGCGGGAAGCGAACGGCGGAGGAAGTAAAGGAGGGGTTGGGGCAAGGCAGCATTTGGGAGCGGTAGGCCGGGGGGTGGGTGGACGGCATTGGACAAGAGCATTTTTCACTCTCTGTCGTTATTAGACGACGCTGGACCTCCGCAGGGTCGTTTTGAAAATGGTTCGGCGGAAAGGGAGGGAAGAAGGAAGAGGGAGGGCTAGGGGGGATCCGGGATTGCATATAAAAGACGACTCGTAGCTAGTCTGGTTCGCGCCCTTGTTGTTTCTTGGTTCTTGTTCTTGTCCTTTTCCGCGTTGGTTTGAAACTACGTTTGCTGCTGCTATTGCTCTCAGTTGCCTTCACAACTTGAAGCCTGGGAACAATTATCCACAACAAACCAAACCTCGTCCCCCTTCCCAAACAAAGCATTGCATCGGAGAGTTTTCTATTCGGGTTTTTTGGTTTCTTTATAACATGCTGGCATCATTTGCTCTTTTTATATATCCTTTTCTGGTTTTTTTTTTTTTTTTTTTTTTTTTTCTTTTTTTTTTTTTGGTTGTGGTGTTTTCTTTTTGGTTTTTTTGTTTTTTTTATACCTTGCTATCATTTGCTCTTTTTATATTTCCTTTTCTGGTTTTTTTTTTTTTTTTTAAACCTAGGTTCGGAATAATCGTCCTCCCCCATCTCTGAGAATTGGATTCACCAACGTGGTTCTCACTCCTTGATTTTTTCATTTCGACTATTGGTAGGGTAACGGTAGGGCAAATGGGTCTTGTGGCTTTGGCGGGTTTTTGGGGGGGGGGGGGAGAAGCTTTTTCATATCTATCAAAACTTTTTTTTTTACTTTCTACCACCATCTCATACATTTTTAAGGATGGGGGGGATGGGGAGGATCCTTTAGCGGAGGAGATACCAAATGAGAAGAGGCGGGTCGTCGGCGCGGGCCTTTCTCTCTCTCTCTCTCTCTTTTGTTCCACGTTGACTAGTACTACTATTTGCCCTACTGAATCTTTTACTGCTCCTTGATCCGGTGATGACTTGTTTGCTTTGTTGTGAGGTGGTGGGTGGTGGGTGGTGTAAGATGCACACGAGGGATTTGGTATATATTAAATGTTGCGGGAGACTGCAGACTTGAGGTCGAAGTATGTTTTGTATCCTTGTGTGGTTCTATGATGCTTGTGTGGTACGTGTGGGCTTGCGCGTAGGTGTGTGTATGTGTATTTGATAAGGCAGGAGGAAAGACCGAGAGAGTGTGTGGCTTTCTTTCGGGTTGATGGGACGAATTGGCTGCTGCGTGTAAGTGAGGTGTTTTGAGGGCAGTTTTATACACAGATCACGAACTTGGTTCCCAAAGAATAAACATTTACAAGATCGCTATTGCAAGGGTGTGTGGATGTGTGCTTTGTGTACAATTACGTTGATGATCATGTTTGCATTGATATTCCTTGTTTTGACATTCCTGTGATGGAGCGACTCCTTACAACACCAAAACCAACCCTTCCATAAAGGACCCCATCCATCTTGACTCCTTCTCATTCTCTCGCGCTCACAATAACACAACGGCCAGACAAAGCCACCCATCCGGATAGGCCGCCTCGCGCATCAGGTCCTCGAGGGGCGCCGAGAACGGCACGGGCGAGCCATGGAGGACGACGTTTGCAAGGACGGGGTCGCGGCTGGAGGGGAACAGGCTGGGGAGATGGGACTGGAGCGCGCGGCCGAGGGTCTGTCTGGTGCGGGTGCCGGGAATGACGGGCGGGACGAGGGTCTGGAGGACTTTGAAGGCACCTGCGGCGGAGGATGAGGAGGAGGGCGTGTCTGGTGGTGGTGGTCCTGGTGTTGATGGTGGAGGAGCTAGTTGCTGCTGTTGTGAGGTTGACAAAGATGGTGGCTTCGGTGAGGCACCGGTGGCACCGATGGCGCTGCCGCTGCCGCTGCCAGGCGGGGGCGAAGACGGGATGTACACCCTGAGGGGCACGTTGCGGAGGGGCGTGGGGGCGTTGAGGAGGAGGGCGTTTATTTTTGAAAAGGAGGCGTAGTCGTTGTCTTGGACTGCGTTCCAGAGGGTCGAGGTGTCTGCTTTGGAGAGGGACATTATGCGTTTTGCGTTGCCGTAGCGGACAAAGTCTGCCTGTTTTGGGGGGGAAGGGGTTGGGTCCCAGTCAGTCAGTCAGATACGGATGAATTCGGCCTTTCAAGGTTTCAGGGTTTGGGGGGGGGATGGGGGCTTGTCGTGTTGGGAATCCTTCTTGTGGGACATTGGGTGTCCTAGTGTGAGGTGATGACGGAGTAGAATGTGGAAAGTGGAAAGATGGAAGGGGGGGGGGGGGGCAGGTGATGTGTTCTTGTGGCGTTGTGTAAAAGCAAAAAAGCCAGCAACAATAACAGGCGGATGAGAGACAATTTTTTGGTGGCGGGGAATGGCATGTCGCTTGGGTATGGGTTGTTTTTATTTTTTACCCATGCATGAGAGGATGAGACAAGGGAGACGGAGACATTGCGGTAAGTTTAAGAGAAGAGAGACATGGAAGAGGTTGGAGAAGGAGACAAGGAGGGACGTTCAAGAAAGGGGAAGAAGACAAGAAACGAGAGGAACAATTCGCGTAAAAAAAAGTCGAACTCACCTCTTTGACGCAGTTTAAAAAGGTGTCGCCAATGTCCCAGCTGTCGCCGTCGCTGACGGTGAGGCGCCAGGGCAGGGAGGGCTGGTAGAGGTCGACGAGGAGGCCGAGGGGCAGGTTCCTGAGGAGGAGGTCCTCGTGGTGGAAGGCGGAGACGGGGGTGCGGAAGAAGGCGGAGCAGCGGGGGACGAGGAGGGCGAGGTAGGAGAAGCGCGGGAGGGATGTGACGAGGGGCGTGTTTGGGTTGGAAGGGTGGATTACGTGGAGGGGGATCTGGGCGGACCAGAGGGTCTGGGGGATCGATGCCATTTTGAAAAGGGAGGTGAGAATACGTTGAGATGGAGGTGGGAGGCCCCGGGGGGGGGGGAAATGGAGGATTTGGGGGTTCTCAATGATGCGACGGCGCGATGAGAGGCGGGTTCCACGGAGTCATGACAGGTCTTGTTGTAGGATGGCGCGTTTGGTGCTTGAAGACAGCCAGTGTTGGGGTGTTTGTTGCTGGTCGGTCCGCTATGCCGCGACGTTTGCAGAGGCCGGATGAGCACGGCACGGAGGCTCGAGCGACTGACGTTGCACTTTGTCCGGCGTTGAGCAAGTGACGGTCGGTACGGAGGCGGAGGTGGGGCACCTCACATTCCCAGCCCGACCGAAACAAAGCCCCGCCATCCGATACGTACTGCTAGCAATCTCAGGTGCTCCAGTGCTATATTACCTAAGCGGCACCGCGTTGCCCTTTTCAGTTACCCGGGCGATCCCTGGAGCTGAGACAAACCTCGGAGCTTAGCTAGCTGCCTGGAGCAAGGACACTAGCGTGAGAGCTTTACCCCAAGCTGTCCACAGGTTCTCTCTCTCCAGAAGCAGCGAAACTTGATACTCTTACGGATACGGAGTACACACCTCGCCTCCAGCTCGCACACCATTCCTCGTCCTTCCTAGTCACAGAGGTGGTCGGGTCTTTACCCCCCGGCCTGACAGCGGCTCTTTCCACGTCCACAGGGAACGTCCCTCCTTGGAGTCTATGCTTTTCGGCGGCACCAAGCAACAAGCACCAAGGCGCGGCTTAGCTGAGAATCCTACTGCACCTGCAGCTCTTTTCATGTTTCAACCTCAACAACATCATCTCTTGCTGACCGCCACCTGCCACTGGGGTCGCGCGTTGTGCTGGTCAGACTTTCAACGACAAGAAACGAGACATGCTCATTCCTGGGCGGCACGCGGCATCACCGTCTTGAAGCCTGAAGGAAGGCACCCGCGGGTGACGGCGTAATCACGGCAACATGCTGAAGGGGAGACCCCCGGCCATGGGTGATTGTCCATGTATCCGTACATGCCGCCTGCAAAAGAGTCGAATCGGCCTCCAAAGAATCCACGGGTTGAGCCTTGATGCCTGCGGATCGATCGATGGGGACGAAGCCAACGGGAAGTCAGTCTTCAGATTACGATGCGGCATGACAGAGACTCGCCGTCTTCCCGGGGTGTGCAAAGCAAGCAAGCCCGCCGCCCGCCTCGCGCGCCAAAGAGTCGCATGTAATCCTGGAATCACGGCATGTCGTGGTCAGTCGAGGTGCACATGACCCGGCCGATCAACCTCGCTTCGCCTCGACCGCCGAATCGTCGCTTACGTGCGCCCCATTTCCTTGCTCCATCGCTATTTTCAACGCTGCTTGGCTTGCGCCTGTCCAATGTCCGCCGTCGTACTATTATCCACTGACCCAAACGGGCCACCGACGGGCAATCTCTCTTTCTCTTTCTCTTTCTCTTTTTTTTTTTTTCTGCTCACTGAGTCGTCAATACAGACTGTTCCTTGGACACCCTTGGCCTCTCTTCGACCCAGCGGCCGATGCTACACGGCACGCGCAGCACGCGCAGCAGGACGCAGGTAGGAAAAAGCAAGAATACACCGCGTGCCATGCTGTAGCTCCGAGACAAAAGGTCTGGTTACACGAGAACGAACGAAAGGTCCCCACCCTCTCTCTCTCTCTCTGATGCTCAGGCTTTCTCTGCAGAGAGCTCTCGGCTCTGTCTATTCGTCTTTCTCTCTCCATCTGGGGTGTTATCAACCAACCACGAGCTTACACAACTCCCACCCCCTCCCTCGAGCTCTTTGCCAACGAGCTCCGCTATCTCATACAACTCTCCCTTTCACTTGTTTGCTTTTTCTTCCAAGTGCACTCGGGACCCGTGTCGGTGGCCAGCACGTTATGGAAAATTCCCCGGAATAATTTTACCAACCCAGTCCGACCGTTGGACCACGAGGTGGTGATCTGTTTGTATGGCGGGGCAGGGGAAGACCAGACCCAATGCCCTTTGAGATGCAAGGGTCTTCGACATCTCCGCAGCCATAAGAAGTTGCGTCTGCAGTATCTCACATAACCCATCTCCATCGCCCAGGGCGGTCAAACCGCCGCGGATTCAGATGGAGGTGACGAGTCAATGCCCAACCGAAACTAGAGCCAAACCATTTTTTTCCTTTCCTCCTCATTTTACCATCATGAAGAGAATTCCATAATAGCGCTTAATGCTGTACTAGCGCTGTTGACTAATCGGCAATCGAAGCGAGCTATCAGTTTCTAAAGAACAGTACCAGCAAATGGATCCCTGTCAGTGTCGCGCTGCTGGCTAGGCACTTGAACACTTGGAATGCCATCCAGGGCTACGGAGTCAAGGTAAAGAGAGCGTAGCACTCCTTTTGCTGGGTAGCTTTGGGCTATTCTTTGCTTTTGCCCCCAGTCGTGCAGGCTGCAGGCTGGCTCGCGCTGGATATATATCTGGCATGTCCTGCCCGCCCCCCGTATCTGGACTACTTGGGAGTTGGTCCACAGCGCCCCCCCCCCCCCCCCCCCCCCGCGCCCCCCCCCTCCCTCTGCCCCCCGCACACCCACCATTGCGGGGACAGTGCCACCCTCTCCCCCCACCTCCCCCCCACGCGCCCCGCGTCGCTCACGGCTGTCGACCCCCCCGGCCGCCCCCCCGCCCCCCCCCCCCCCCCCTCTTCTCGTCACTTCTCATTCCTGACAGAATCACTCAAACGAGATGGCTGCGCAGCACAGCGCAGCAGCAGCACATGCGCTGCGACCTTCTTTATTGTCCTTGCATTTGCGTCCCTCTCTCTGCTTGGCCTGCCGCCGCCGCCGCCGCCACCGCCCACCTCGTTCTCACTCCCACCGGGCCGTCTCCCAAAGTACCTTTGAGGTCGAGTGACTTGAGAGTGACAAGTCAGCCAGACGGACACGCTATGTGTCAAGTCGTGGCCTGTCGCCTGCAGAGCCAAATCACCAGTCTCGTCAACTCGAGGCTCTCACCTCCCTCACCCACAACTTGCAAGAAAAACCCCCTCCCCCCGTTGTCGACCTTTCTGCCTTTCTCACACGCCCCCCTTCTTTCTGTTCCCCTGTTCCGTCACTTTCCCATCACATTCGCGTTTTCCCCATATCCCACGATGAGCGCCCAAGGCCGGGAATCTGAAAATCGCAACGCACCCCGATCCATCTAAGCCACCTCCGAGAGAGTGATTTCCACGTAAATCACATTTCATATCCTCAACGAAGAACCCCTACCCTTCATAAACCCGGACACAACTCCCAAACAGAGTATGGCCTTCCCGTGCCTTACCGCCCATCCCGTGCCCATGCCCTTGGTATGGACCGTATGGTTCTGGGCCCTCGTCTTAGTGTAGTGTTCGAATAGGCACTACCACCAACCTCAAAAACCACACCCTTTCCCGCATCTAAGGTCTCGCGCCGTCGCCGTCGCCGTGGTCGCCCATGCCTAGCCCAGCGCCTTCCCCCCTCACCCGTCACCCTATTCCATCCGCCGTGCCTGTCCATCCCGTCAAGCAAGGTCAAGCCCCCCGTCGCTCACTAAAACCGCACTATCAAGGCCTACCCATACCCCCGGGAGGCGCGCTCTAGACGATCCCATGGCACTGGGTCCATCGTGACCCTTCAGCTAGGTAACCATATTCTCTCCCTTGATCAGAGTTCGACGTCGTGTCAGAATTCGAGGCAGCGAACACGACGACGCCACGGTCGCCGCCGCCGCCGCCGCCACGCAGATGACACCCAGCCAAACGCCCGCGACGACACCATCCCTCCCCAATTCCATGGAATCTCTCTGGAGTGTGTTCTAGGTCATCCAAGTGCGGAGTGCCACCACCTTCCTACGCTGCCCAGCCAGCCGATCCCCCAGCATCTGGCGCCTCGGGATGCATGGTGCGCTTTGCTTACTGCTACCTACCTTTCCACGTTTGCCTGTTCTGCCACCCATTCGTCGCGTTCGTTGGCCCTGGCACCCACCGGCAGGCGTGTCCTCCATGGCCGACGCGCGGGAAAGAGGCTAACCGGTCACATGCGGGCATGCGGGACGCAAGTGCCGAACTAGAAGACCACCACAAAAGCACCGGCTCTTGATACCGCGCGCGCGCGCGTGTCTCCATCACACCAGGAGGAGGACGAAGAAGGGGACGATGTGCAGGGTGAGGCGGGCGGTTGGGGAACGATCACACCAAAGCTCTTGTCACCTTTCATAGACCACTCCTCTATTGCAAGTCTCTTGGGGCCTAGGGGATTTAGGGTGTATTAAAAAGGGGTTTGGTGGCTGTCAAACAGGGCGACTGGGGGGGACCCATCAAACAAAAGCACTGGTCACCTTACATAGAGCGTGGCGCTATTGCAAGTCTCTTGGGGCGTGGGGGATTTAGGGTGTATTAAAGAGGGGTTTGGTGGCTGTCAAACAGGGCGACTGGCGCTGCCGCTGCGGCTGCCGCGGCTGCCGCTGTGTGTGTGATCGGGTTAGAGCGGCCGGCACGATTCCCAAGCTGCCAAGTCCCGCCGGCAATAATCGGTCCCCT